GATTAATGCTTGTAAATAAAACGAACTAACTTAGTTTTAGATATCACGTTGCATATATTGTTTGGTATTGGAATTGTGAAAACGGAAGAGCTAGTAAAGGCCACACTTGGGCTAGAATAGCGATTCCTCCCTAAAAGAAACGTTATTTTAGTACCCTCGCTCCCGAATTCATTTCTGGTACACGTAGACCAATTTGGGCATGGGTAAACTTATTATTCATACTAATCCCTTGAACTCTACTTGGGAGAAAGGCATGAACGAGGTTTATGAGTTTTCTAAAACTCATTGGCGACTCCTTACTAGTTTCTTACAAAACAGCATAATGATGGGATCAACTCTAATTCTATGTTCCCCAAACAGTCAGGAATTCAAATCCTAACACGCCAAACGGTGTAAAGTCCTAGGCTTTTAAACGGCCATGGGGATAGAGGAGAAGGATCCCCAACGACGGGCACACCCTCCTCACATAATACAATATGTGAGTTAGCACTAATTAATTCGGCTTAAAATCTACAAATGCATAGTTGTTCGGTGAAAACACTCATGTTTTCTTCTAGATACTAACGGAGATTATGAAACCCTATATATTCAATCCCACTGGACAAACAAAAAATGAAATTAAACACATTAGAATAACCACCATATCAAGGATGAGATCTATTTATTGAAAGCAATAATTAAGTTTTTGGGGATTAAACCGGTAAGAATAGCAGTGGAATCCCTTACAAATATTCACAAGTAAGACTAAAAAGAAAAGAGATGAAAGAGAAGGGGAGAAGAAGGAGAAGAGTGAAGGAAAACTTTTAAAATAACATAGAAATAGAGGCTATGAAAATTTTCTCAAAGGACAAACTTTGAAGGGAACTAGAAAACCCTCATAAGAAGAAACCCTTGAGGGAATAAGGATAAGGATAAGGTATCTTCTATTGATAAAGGGGGAGCTTGAAGTGTGTTTAAGTTGAACATAACCTAATATGGTAAATTATAATTTGAAATATTAATAAAGTACTCATATTATTAATAAAGGCAAAAGTAATAAATACCCAAAGAATTAGATAAGAGAGCTAAAATGAAAATATTAGAGTAAAATAAATATTAATTACATTGATACACGTATTTTTAATTTAACATTTATTATTTTAATACGAAGTACTCGTGCTAATTACTTATTTAATACAACAGGATGCTTGTTAACAATGTCCTTGATAAAACAAATTAATTCAGAAGTTAGTGGTGCCGGCCACCACTACACTACTGACTACACCGTCCCCACATGAATGTAAAAACAACAACCGCTGCAGTCTTTGCCATTAATTTATTTGATGTTACAAGTGGATGCCAAAATAATCCCGAATTTCCGCAATCCACACCACTTATTCATCTCCACGTGTCTGGCTTTGCATGGATAGACCGTCAACTGCATCAATGCCACAAATTTTTTTTTGGCTTTTGTTCCGTCAATGCCACACCAGCAGTAATTTCTTTATTTTTTTTTCCGACAACAAATTTATTTCTATTTTCAGTGTAAAAAATAAGCTATTTCCTCGGTCTGAATTTATAGTTTTTATTTGTATTATTTTTGGTATTTAAAAAATGGGAGGAGAAAATAGATGAAATAAATTAAAAAAAAAAGTGATAAAGTGAAAAAAATACAAAGTAATTGAAAAATTAAGGTTAACTTATGAAATACAATGAATAAAATTTAAAAAATAGAGTATAATGATCTTTACATACTACTCAAAAATGAAAACAGAAGTAAAATTAAATCTCCAAAATAGGCAAACAAGAATTATATTGTGGGACGAAGGGAGTACAATATACTCCATATGTTTCAACTCAATTCAAAGCATAATTGTGATTTGTGAAGTATAGTATTTTAAATTGAAATACTTTTTCCTTTTTTCTAAATCGCAATGTTGAAGATTATACGTTTGTCAATACACATTTTATAACTTAAACATTTAAAATTCTATTACAACAAAAATTATTAGAAGTTGATATTAATAAAGTGTATTTTGAGACGAATACTATATAAATGTAACTGCTAAACGTCGCTCCCATTTTGACATGAAAGGACCATATTGCCCTTTCCATAAGTTGGACTATATAAGGCTCCACCACTTGGTTAAAAAGATTCCCGAGCATTTTAATATTATTCCCGAGCACATTCGATCCACAACTTGGTTAAAAAAATTTCCGAGCCCACCACATCCAACCCCACGACATCCAACCCAAAATTCCTGAGCCCACCACCAAAAATCCCATTTTTTTTTTAAAAAAAGTTTATTAAGCTTTAGCGACGGGTTTAGAACGATGGATGACGACAACGGTCATACACCGGAGGCATCGTCGGAGGATTCTGTAAGTCCTCGAAATCTTTTTATTTTTATTTTTTTGAAAGCGTACATCCGCCTAGAATTTCTGGATCTTCCATGGTGGATCCGGAAATTTTAGGCGGATCCACCATGGAGGATCCAAATTTTTTAGGCGAATGTCCAATTTTTTTTTTTATTAATTAATCAAAACAATTTTTTTTTTAAATTAATTAATCAAATTTATTAATGTAATTTTTGTATGATAATTATAATTTTTATTGTGATTATTATTTTTTTGTGATAATTTGAGTAATTAGTATTAGTATTATTAGGTAATATTAGTTATTTTTGTGAATTTTCTTAATTTTTTTTTTTAATTTAAGATTTTTAAGTTTATCGAGCGTGAAATGTGTTGTAAGGGTAATTACGAAATTTCAAGGAAAAAATGCGAGCGACACCTAATAATTTAGGAGCGACGTTTAACAACCCCTTATATAAATCACCATAAACAATTAAAAAAGTGTGTATGAATAGCGTAAAATACCACACGCTGCGATTTAATAAACGAGCAAGTAATCAATCAATTTAAAAAAATACTAAGAAAATTAATGTTTCAAGAAAACTCAGATCTATTGTTGATGAAAAGAGTACAGTATTTAATTTCTGACGCAGCATTGTCAGCATCAGTGCCGTCTTTATCTTTCACCAAAAAGGACGCCAAGGTAACCCTTTTCCGACGTGTAGCAACATAAATCTTTAACGCAGCCTTATATAATTCCTTTCTTAATGATTATCCTAATATCCTACACCTCACCCAGTCACCCCTTAAGTCTTACCCACAACTCCACAAGCCCCTTCAATTCGTGGTTTAGATGGTTCTTTTTGTATGTACTTGATAGTTGCAAATAGACCTGGCAATTCTAACCCAGATCTAATGATTCGACCCGAATAATTCAATTCATGACCCGAAATCATCGATTTGAAATTGACCTGACCCGTACCCAACCCGAAAATAGAGTTGACCCGACACCCAAACTGACTCGACCCGATTGTACCCAACCCGAAGTTGACCCGATAACCGAAATGAGCCGACCCGAAATTGACCCGACCTAAAGTTGATTCGAAGTGTTTGACCCGAACAGACTCGACACCCGAAGCGTGCCGAACTAAAATTACCTTATAGTTGGACTAAAAATGTCTGATGCCAAAAATGACTCAATTTGTTCATCTCTAACTGTACCCAAGCTCATAAACTGAATTGATAGTTCTTATTACAACAATAACAAAATATAAAATTATTGATTTGAGCTTGATCCACTAATGGAACAACACGAACATGACTTGACCTAGTTTTGACCCGATCCGAATATGGCCTGAACATACCCGACCCGAAATTAACCCGACTCGAACTTGACCCAAATCAGACCCAAAACTCGAATTGACCCGACCCGAATGTTAATTGACCCAAACTGACCCGGCCTAAAATTGACCCAACCTAAACCCGACCCGAATGACCCATTTGCCGGGTCTAGTTGCAACCATCTAAGATTATCCCATGGAATCATATATGCTTTGTAAATTTTTTATAATTATATGAAATTAAAATTATAGTCTTCAATTTTAAATAGAAATTTATGAGGTTTAAAAGGAGTATTTTAAGGATAATTTAAATTTTTTTATTTTTAACTAGAGTGACTATGTATGGAATACTTCCATGCCACTTTGAGAGTCTACAAAAGAGAAAAAGTAAGCTATCTCGGATAATCTTAAAAACATCCTTCCTTCAAAGATTCAAAGAGAAAATAGAGAAAAAAGGTCCAAAGAATTAGAAAAAGTTGTATGTATAATATTGTGATGATGACAAAAATGTACCTTATGAGCTAGTTAGAGGTAAATCTATAATAATAACACTACAAGCTGGTTTAGGAATAATGTGCTTATTAAGTAAATTTGTTCCAGGAAAACATTTTCGTCATTTCAATCAGTTATTGGGCTTACCAAAGCTAGGCCCAACAATCTCTCAATTTATGAGATGGACTAAAACAAAATGGTTCGATCTAGAATGCTTGATAGCAAAAATGACTCTGTATGTGAGAAGTCAAGTCGAACCCGAAATAACATATCAACACATTAAGAACCTAGATCGAGCTAACTCTAACATATATGACTTGAGCGAATTGAGCCCAAGCAAGCAAATAAACAACTTAAATTACCAGACTTGACCCAACAAAATAAATCGACTTGTTTCAACTTTACCCGCCATAAGTCAATCCAAAATCATATGTCCATATGAGAACCCAAATTGACATACTTACACAAATCTTTAAACAACTTTATCTTTCTTACTTACCTACAAATTTAAAAAGGGAATACACTTTCCACTAATTCCTAACTTGCATTAATCTCCATTACAATAATTAGAAAGGTGTTTGAAGCACAGAGACACTAAACTAGCTCCACTACAATAGTAAAATAAATGGTTGGTTACAAAAATAATTATGGAATCTTTATGAATTCTTTTTAATACCCTAAATCACTATACTCTTGTACTAATTTATTTTATATAGTTGGAAAGACATTTTTTTAGTACATCATACAAATTAATATTCTTAAATTCCAATTATTTTATAAAATTGATTGCTTGGAAAAGTCTTATCTTCTAACAACCACCAAGGCACCAAGTAAGCAAGACCAATTCTCCAACCCTCCTATCAATTATATAAACCTCATCTTCTCCTCTACTCAACTCTCCTCTTCTTTTTATCCTTCATTTCTTCCTCAAATTCACCTTTTTCTCTCTCTCCTATTTATACCCATAAATTCTCAAATCTTCCTAACCCACTTCTCATTTTTCTCTCTCCTCACTCCCCCAAAAAAATGGAATTCCCAGTAATTAATTTTGAAGCTGGTATTAATTCATTACATAATCCTTCATTAATTTATCGAATTTTCTCAAATTTTGAGCTGGGTAAATTATCATATGCTAATAGAATATGGAAATGGGGTGCCCTTTTTCTTGCTTTAGTTTATGCATTTAGTAGTCTTGTTAATAAAATCAAGATTATAATCTTATATTATCACAATAAATCCAGATCTTTATTAGCTGCTTCTGAACCTCTATTATCTCACTTATACGATGAATTTGATAGTGATTTTTCCGATGACGAAAACGACGACGTTTGCTCTTCCTGCGGATCCACCTCCGATGAAGAAGACGACGTCATCGACGATGACGACGAAATCGAAGATCTATGGAACGCATCGTTTGATGACGATGATTACAATGTAAAGGGTAGTTTCGGTAATTTCAATGAAAGTTCAAGGCAAAAGGGTAAATTCAAGCTTCTTCGCCGAAGACGGAGTTTTGTTGACAATTTCTCGTTGTCTGATTTTGTTAACGGAAACGGCGTCGTCAAGCTTTGGGATGGATTAAGTTTAGGAGTTGTAGATGTCGATAATGCCTTTTCATTTCTAGATTATGAAAATGATAAAAATTCAGAAAATCGAGACTTATTCTTCGCCGGAGTTCCGGCTGTTTCTTCGTCGCCGGCGGTGTTTATCTCAGGCGGAAAATTAGGGCTAGACATTTGGGATTTCCGAGCCGGCGATTCATCACCGGTTGTGAAATCCGATTGGAGACGGTCGGACCGGAGGGGAGAAGTAGTCGGGATGGATTCCGGTCGAACCGGAAAAGTATACGTCAGAGATGACGACAGCATGAGGTTAGCAGTTGGTGACGTAAGAAAGGTTGATGCGGCGTTAACGGAGGAGTATGAGGAGGAGATGTGGTGGGATGCTGACGGTGTAACTGAGTCAACTCACGAGTGAGACGGAGGTGGTGGTGGGATCGGGTGCGACGCGGTCTTTCTGGAAGACAGGTGGATTTCAACAAAATGAAAATGTGTTTCACGCGTGAGAAGTGAAAGGAAGACCACTAATATTATTTGAATAATATTTAGTTTTAAAAATGATGTATTAGTATTACTATTATTAGTGAAAGAAATTACTACGTATTAAAGTTGAATAATGATTGTTGTAGATTAGGGGAGAAGGGGAGAGTTGTAAAAATGATGAACTCTTTGATCCATTGCTTTGTATATACTTGAAATGATGAATTTTCTTTTCAATTGAAAATACCTCATTTGTGAATACCTCATTTGGTATGGTCGTATGGATAGATTAGATCAAAAATTCAGAACGCTAATGCTCTGTTTATGTGTTATTTTTTGGCATTTTTCTAAATAAAACATGTTTTACTTCAAAATAAAACACTTTGACATCTAATTAATCAAAAAAAATTTCACATATCTAGAAGTTGAGTATGAATTTATATTTTTTTGGCCAAACCTAAATGGAAAGACGCTGAGAAAAAATAGTGGATTGGAGGCTTTGGAGCTGTTTTAGCTGTTTGAGTATCCAAGTATCTTTTTCTTTTTTTGAATGGAGTATCCAAGTATCTAACATTGTTTGGTGTAAATAACTAAATATAAGCTTGCATAATTGCATTAGTATAATTGACTTTAATCGCTAAAAATGTGAGAAGCTGTTATGAGTGGGTTTCCTGAAGAGCGGGTTTCATCATTTGCATTAGCATAGAGCCATAGACCTGATAGAACTGCTAAATTAGAGACAACCTTAGCCCAATACAATTATACAAATATACCATGGACTTATGGATTTTGTGCATGAGGTGCTATCTGCTATGGACCCTATGGTCATTTTATATGAGATACTTTGTACAATTTTTTCAAGAACTTGTATGTTATATGAAACACAAATGTATTATATATCCTCCATTTTTTAAATTGGCGCAATTTTAACGTTGTGCACTATTCACATAACTTAATTTAAATCTGTTTAGTGATTTAGTGTTAAGAAAAATACACAATCATATGAGATTTTGTTAATTAACCTTAACGTGTATATATATATATATATATATATATATATATATATATATATATATATATATATATATATATATATATAATCAAGATCACGTGAGAACAAGTCCTATAATAGGAACTAGGAACTCATCGTGACCGTTGATCGCTCTCAAGGGCTTGTGTTTCACCCGCCTTTTTCAATTTTATTAAGGGCATTGTTGGTAATTTTGCCAGTTGAATGACATTTCTCCTGTTCTTTTCGCAGTTCTTTTGTTTCTCTCTCCTCTCTTGCACTTTCTCTCTCTACCCTCAACTCTCTCTGTATTTTCGTTTCTCTTATATCGAAATCGGGATTTTTTTCTTCGCTCATCAGTTTTTTGCTGTGATTCTTTGATTTTCGTCATTGTTTGAGGTAATTCTTTTTTATTTATTATACTTTTTGCAATTTTGTGAATTTTTTTATCGATTTGCGAATTGTTTTGTTTGATTGAGATTTTTTGTTTTTTCGTTGGATTTATTATTTTTGAATTGTTGTTTTTGTTTTCGTTCGATTTTTTCAGCTTATTTTTGTTTTATTTAGTGTTCTTTTGTTATGATTTTGTGTTTTTTGAAGTACTTTCTACGATTTAGGGTTCATATACTACGATTTGGGGATTTTTTTGAATTACTTACTACGTTTTAGGGTTTCATATTACGATTTGGGTTTTTTTTTTTTAATAAATTTTGAGTCTAATTGTATGATTTTGTGTTGTTTTGAGTCTTACATTACAAATTGTTGTTCTTTGCATTATTTCCTCTTTGGTCAAGGTTCTAAAAAAATATTGCTCCATTTACTTTGTTCTATGTTCTGAAGAAACATTCGTATTAGTGTTCTTGCTTAATTCTTTTTAATTTTCTTTCATTTTGTTTGTTTTACTTTTTGTGCATTTTTATTTACTTTTTGCTTTGTGTCATTTACTTTTTGTGGGTTTTAATTTACTTTTTTGTGGTTTTTAATTTTGACTTGCTGCATCATTGGTAACAGAATTAGTTTCAAAATTTCAGGGGAATTGTTACTATTCTCCTCCCTTCATCCTTTTTGTTCTTTCTATTGGAGAATCGAGTGACATTTTAATCATGTAGTATTGCTAATTGGCATTAAAACTGAAATGAGATTATAGGTTGTAATTTGAATGGGCCCTATGATTTATGTTTAAAATTTGGCTTAGATTGTTTGGCTTTGTATTGGCTTTGTGTTGGCAATATATTCACAGATATTCTGATTTATGTTTTTGTGTTGTTGTGAGAACAATATTATTGACTGACCATTTTTGTGCTATCACGAGCATGCAGTAACCTCTTAATCACAACCGCAAGGATCTGTGCCTATAGGATCGAAACTGGTCTCTTGGAACCTTCATTGACTATTAGATATGTGCTGGACAAATACTAGTTAGTTGCATTGAAGGTCATATATATAACCCATGCAGTAGTCTTTCTTATCTAATGCCTGTTATGCCTATCCTTATATAGCTCATGGGAGGATGATGTTGATTTGATCATTATGACTCGCTAATTAATGATGCAATGCCTCACTCACTTGATGTTGATCACGTCATCATGATCAGCTTGAGTTTTCACAATTGAACATGTGAAGATTAGCCCGAAAAATGATCGGGTTGAGTGTTGCAGCTGCTGCCACGTAGGCCTTGCCAAGGCTGCAGCTGCTGCTGCTGCCCTGCAGACCCTATCAAGGTTGCAGCTGTTGCCTTAGAGGCTCTGCCAAGGCTGCAGCTGCTGCCCTGGAGGCTCTGCCAAGCCTGCACCTGCTGCTCTACCAATGCAAGGATGTTGCTGCTGCCCTGCAGGCCCTGCCAAGGTTGCTGCTACAGCTGCTGCCCTGCCAAGGCTGCTGTTGCAGCTACTGCCCCGACATGGTCTGCTGTTGCAGCTGCTGCCCCGACATGGTCTGCTGCTGCAGCTGCTGCCCTGCCGTGGCTTGCTACTACAACTGCTACTTTTGCCCTGCCAAGGTTGCTGCTGCAACTATATAAATATTAGTTGACCCTAGCCCTACATTATTCAGATCAATCGGCTTTGCTTAAGGATATTTGGAGTGGTAGTTGCTGCACTTTGACTAGGATTTGAGCATATACTCTATTTTTTTTTATTTATTTATTTCTTATGATATACTTTGATTTACTCTTAAACTGATGTATAATTTATCTTACTAGCTTTAATGCTAATGTTACCTTTAATGCTTCTCTTATTTACTTTTAAGTATATCTAATTTACTTTTCCATTTGTTTTCTTTACTTTAAATATATTATGTATAAAGGTGAGTGGAGAGGAGTAAATTTGATGTTGTATATGGTGGTATGCTGTGTATTCTTTTTATTTTGTATGCTTATGTTTCTTATTACCGGGTCGAGCTTAAATCTTTTCATCATGTGTAAGTTGATATGTTCTTTGGGATATAGTTTTTTTGGTTGACATTTGAGATTGTTTTTTATTTACTTTTGAGCTATTTTTCTTTACTTTGAATTTTTAATGTACACTAGCCTACTAGCTCAAAGGTAGAGCACTGTGCAAATGCACAAAAGATGTGGGTTCAAATCTTTCGTAGGTTTATTCATTAGATAAAATTATTTTTTATTTACCTAAATTTTGAGGTTTTTTTTTTTACTTTTAGAATATTTCGATTTACTTTTTAGTATTTTGTATCTACTTTTGAGATATATTAAAGGATGACTTCAAAGTATGATGTAAGAGGTCATGTGTAACAAGTTTCTCTTACTCTTTCTCACTATGAAATGCTATGTAATGGTACTTTGGAAGAGCTTGCTATATACTGGTTTTGAATTTTGATTTTTTTAAGCTAATTTGATTTACTTTATAATTGTTTTGATTTACTTTTGAGAAATTTTCAGTTACTTTTGTGTGTTTTTATACATTAGTACACATTAGAGTTGATTTGATTTACTTTTGAGTTATTTTGGTTGGGAGTTCTATGAAACACCTTGCGAGTATATGATTTATACTCCATTGCAGATTCACAAAGTTGCTGGCAGTCAGAACCGGATCAAGCTTAGTGTGCTCAAAGAGAGCTTTGTTTCTACACAGCCAGATGGCCCCACGCCATCGCTAGCAAACTCCCCAAATCATCCTTGTCAATCTTACTACAAGCCACAAGAGTTTTACCTTGAAAGAGGTAGATGGTGCGTCATGTAGAAGTTGAACACCTTTCTTGCAATATGGCAGTCAAAGAGTACGTGGTTAACAGACTCAACCTCTACCCCAGAGCCACCACACACATCATCAGGAGCAACATATGGCGATAAAACAACAGCTCTTTCACGGCAAGGCTACTTCTACAGGCTTTCCACACAAAATGATTTTGTTTCGGTTGTTTGTTCTTGCACCAAATAGTCGCCTATAGATCCCTGTCATCTTCTTGCACCCTATTCTCTGCAGCATTAAGGACACCAAGTCTCCCCAGCCAAATAATTATATATATATATATATATGATGAAACGGGGCTTTCAAAGCCAAATAATTGTTCATATACAATAGAGCTTATTTGATTTACTTTTTAGTCATTTTGATTTACTTTTGAGGTATCTTAATAACTTTAGAGTGTTATACTTTTGATCTTTTAAGATTTAATTTGAGATATTTTGATTTACTTTTGAATTTTTTTAGTTACATTTAGAGACGACCTATGTAGGAATCGAACCTACACCCTCTATGCATTTGCATAGTGCTTTACCATTTGAGCTAATAGGCTCTAAGGGCAACAATTCACGGTTTATTCAACTAACAATGACAACATTTCACTTGGAATAAAAGGAGAAAGAAAGAAAGACCAATTCTTATAATATCATTATTTGCCCTGAAAAACTGATAAAGGTCTATGAAAGAGATGTTACTAATCATCTTGTTTGCCCTCTCTGGCATTCAGCACATCCAGAACAGCAAAACAACTTTTTGAAAACATTCCTTTTCTTACTCAATGGCCTTCCTCCTCTCAAGGGCAGACTCTCTGTACCTTTCCATTTCTTCGGTTACTTCCGCAGAGTGTTTACATTTAAACATATCTAGCTTACTTTTTGAGGAATATAGTTTACTTTTCAATGTCATTTTAAATTTACTCATTCATGCATTCAAAGTTCAAACAGATGTGCAATGAAAAACTAGAAAAATACGTAGTATCAAACTTTGCTGTATGTAAAAGAAAAAAAAATCACCCAGAATAATTCCAAAAATAACACATAGTTAATCATAAGAAATTTATACAAGAATTAACAAACTCAATCATATTCGTTTGCAAACTTTCCGAATTTCACATATATTTGAGCAAAATAAATCGACAAATTAAATTAAACAACACATAATTCACAATCATATATCGTTAAATCTGTAGTAAACAATTAAACAACATCAAATTTTTATAATTACACCTATTTTGAACTTAATTTGCATCTCAAGTGAATTTACAGTAAAATATTGACACATTATAACAAATATAGGGACAAATTTTCTGGAATACAAAGAAAATCCAAGATAGGATATATAATATGACATGATTATTGTTTGGAAAAAAAGCCTAAAAATCAATTTGTACCAAATTCACAATTCTTACCTCAATTATTGAGAAATTTTGCAACGAATCTAGCAAATTATTGAGACAATATGTAAATTGTAGCAAATTCCATAAAATCGAGTTGTTAATTGAGGTAAGGGAGAACGAAAATGGTGGAGGAGAACGAAAATGGCGTCTGTGAGAATGAAAGAGAAACGAGCGCAGGAGAGAGAGGAGAGAGAATTCGCATCTGAATAGATCCCAGCCGTCGATCTAACGCGCGCCCCTCATTAGATCCAACCGTTCTGATTAGTTCCTATTATAAGATTAGTTCTCATTATAACCTGGTCATATATATATATATATATATATATAGATAGAGTCAAATGAGAAGCGGCTTAAAATGAGAAGGATGAGAAGGAATCCTCACCATTTATATTTTATCTAATGGCTACGATTGAAATCAGACCCCAACAATCAAATATGCATATTTCTTAAACTATATGTGCATATTTTTACGATTCAAATAATATGCATAAATTTTAAATCGAATATGCAAAGTTTTTAAACACAATGTGCATAACTTAATAAATAAATGTGCAATTTTAATTACATGAATGTCCAGTTCTATTTTCTTACTACTGAAAAAAAAGAGAGAGGAGAGAGAAACGGATGTTTGCCACCATCGAAGACCTGGTGAACGAGCTTCTTCTGACCAAAACAGCGGCGAAAACTAGAGGCTTAGGAAGAACCTCAGGAGGTGGAACATGAGCAGATCTTGTTATCACCTTCATCATCTAACGAAGACAAAGAAGAATCATGGTGACTGTGACCATGGTGTTCTTGAGAATCAACTAACAAAATTAAAGATCATGGTGTTCTTGAGGAAGGTCAGACATGGCTGCTTCAAATGGCAGAAGGAATGAAGAAAAGGAGGAGAGAGAAAATAGAGAGTAGGAGAATGTAAGGGTGGGTATGAAGAATGGAATGAAGGGGGTGGCGGAAACATGGAATGATTGTGAACGTAAGATTATTAGATTTGGATGATTGAGATTGATTCTCATTCTTCCTATTTTAAGAGTTTTCTCGTTGGATCACAACCTTAAATAAAATGTGTCAACTAAAATAAAACGGAGCAAGTACGAATTACCTAATATATTGTCTTTTTATGCATGAAAGCATGACTAAGGAAGGTGTTATATATAATGCATCAAGTGGCGTCGTGTATTACATCTAGGGATTAGTCTAAAATTTTCTTGGGTAGTATTTATATCCTAATTCCTAATGCCCTAACATGCCGATCAGTTATTATGATGTAGATTGGGGATGATGCCCAAGCATATGTCGGTCGACTTTAGGTGGTTGATTTTTAGAGACAATTAAATTCTTTGTGATTGAAGCGTACGTGAAGATATTCTTTTTGGGTCAAGTGTTGAAGCAAAATTCGCTAATGTACGTATTTATTGAGATATGTTAGTTTTGTAATCTCTTACTTGAGCTACATTGTCCTCTTTATCATGTCACTATTGTTTACTATGATGATATCACACACTAATAGAGTGATGAAACAAAAAGAGCACACGTTTAGCTAAGGATAAATTGGGTTTTCCATCTTATAGTTTGGAGCGAAACCAATATGGATCGGTTCTTAATTTAATTATGACTAGTCTATTGTAAATATGTAACCCAAAAATATATTTCAATGGAATACTCTTTAACCATTTCAAGTAGATTTATATATACAATACAACCTAAATCAATAAGAATATTAAACCACTTTTACTAGACCAAAGAATTGAAGGTCCTATCCTATAATAAATTAACAATAAAAGCAGTGACCACAAAAATCTCAAACTAAAGTGATTTATTATTCTCTCAATCTCCAATACAAGGCAGCATTTTCACTCACAAATGGATTATTTATATAACCTCAATTTTTAACAATCAACACTATAGTTCTGTGTCAGGTAAAAATGCGCAAGCAAACCAAAAAAAAAATACATTGAGGCATGCATTTACTAGAAATATTATTTTCCAGTATATCCACAGCAAACTCTCTTTTAAACGTACGGAATGACTATGAATTTCAATTTAACACGAACTCATCATCTGCGTAATTGTTACTGTAAATTTTTAATAGGATAATGGAAACGGTCATTAAATACTTGTAGTCCGTTGTGAAGGATTAGAGGAGCGTTTAGAACATTTACACATTTTAAATTATATATTAATTTGTTAAAGTGTAAAGGATGAAATGTTACATTCTAAAACTAATTTGTAATGGATGGCATATTTCATCAAATCTAATTAGTACGACCTTAACATCTATAGACATATTAATATAAATTAATACTATTATTTTAATGCTGGAAGTTGGAAGGACACTTGTCCTCTTCGTGTTTTTTTTGTTTTAAAATAATTTTTTAATTACAAAAATAAATAAATATACATCTCTTTCATCTCAATGCCCTAATCATGCTTATTCAAGAAAATAATTTTTTTCATCCAAAAAAAATTATAAAAACAGAAAATCAATCAAACAATTCTTCTACATCTCTTCCATCCCAACCCCCTAATCATACCTATTCAAGAAAATAATTTATTGGATCAAAAAAAAAAAATCTATACTAATATTTTAAAACAGGAAATTTAAAGGACACTTGTCCTCTTCCTGCATTTATGAATTTTTCT